GTCAGATGAAGAGGTGCACAGGAGGGTGTTCTGTAAACGTCTGTGAAGTCAAGGTGTTGGGTGGTCTTGTTGAAATGGTCTGTGTCTTTACTGATTTTCTATCTACTTGTTCTGTCAGCTCTTGCAAGTTGGGTTTTGAGATCCCCAACTGTCACTGTGGATCTGTTTCCTTCGTACATTTTTATCAGTGTTTGTTTCACATGTTTTGGGTCTTTGTTATTAGGTGTGCATATCTTTGTAACTGTTACATATTCCTGATGTTTGACCCATTTTTTTTCTGTGAAATGTCCCTCTTTGTCTCTGTTAACATTTCTTGAAGTCTATTTTGTGTAATGTTAGTATAGCCACTCCAGCTGTCTTAATGGTTACTGTTTGCTTCCAACCTTTTATGTCTTTGAGGCTAAAGTTTGTCTCTTGTTATGCACCTTTTAGTTAGCTCTTGCTTTCTTTTTAATCCGACCTGCTAATGTTTGTCTTTCAGTTGAGATGCTTAGGTCCATCCACATTTAATGTAATTATAGATGTGGTTGGATTTACATGTCTTAGTATGCATATATTTGGGGATGTGTTTATTAGCCTTCATTTTTGAAGGATAGTTTTGCTGGATGTAGAATTCTGAGTTGGTGGAATTTTTTTCCTCATCACTTTAAATTTGTCACCCCACTGGTTTCCTGCGTTCATTGTTTCTCAGGAGATGTCATAATCGCCATTTTGTGTCTTTTTTTCCTCTCGTGGCTTTCATGATTTTCTCCTTGTCTTTGGTTTTCAACAGCTTCAGTCTAATGTGTGTGGGGTGTGGATCTCTGTGTTTATCCTACTTGGGATTGGTTAGTTTTGGGAGCTGTCGATGAATGTTTTTCATCAAATTTGGGGTTGGGGGCTGTATGTGTTTTAAGTATTTTTTTCTGCCCCTTTTTTCTCTTCCCTCTTTTTCTTGTGGGGGAGGTGCAGAATTCCCATTATGCATATGTTTGTATACTGAACGTTGTCTCCCAGGTATTTGAGACTTTGTTTATTTTTACTCAGTCTTTTTTTCTCCTGTTCTCCAGTTAGACAGTGGTAGAAATTGCATAGTCTTCAAGTTGTGTGGTGACTCTCTTTTCTGCCATTTCAGAGCTGCTGCTTTGTCCAGCTGGTGAATTGTTCATTTTGGTCTTTGTACTTTCCACCCTCAAAACTTACTGCTTTTTTCATTAAATCATTGTTACCATATTTTCCTTGGTTATCATGCTTTCTCTGGTTTTCTTGAATCCTTTGAACATATTTATCACAGCTGCTGTGAAGGTGTTGTCCGCCAGATCCAGCATCTGGCCCCTCAGAGTCAGTTTCTGTTCACTGAGTGTCTTCCTGAGTACGGCTCACACTTTCCAGTGCTATTGTGTAGCTCATAATTTTTTATTGAAAACTGGACATTTTAGATCGTGTTGTGTCATCTGGATTCTGACCTTTTTTTTTTTAATTTGTAAATGTTGCTACAATTCTGGGACTGTTTTATAACATGCCTGGAATTAGTCTTTGAAATCTCCCTACCAATGTCACATAGCTACTGATGTCATGGCTTCACTTTTCTATTTTCATTTTTGTTTTCTAGCCTGACCTCTAGGATTTGCTCCATCTCTGCTTGGTGTAGCACCCAAGCCTGCTGAATTTTCCCTTCTGTGGATGGATCTCTGTGGGGGTGGGGCAGGGAGGGCATGGAAGTCAGTGTTCTGTCAGTTTTCCTGTGTGTGTACCCCACTCTTCCCGCTTTCCTGAGTTCATGTGCCCTGGGTCACCCAGGCCACCACGATGTCCTCACTGAGCCCTTCTCTGCTCTCTGACTTCCAGGATCTTCCTGTTAGATCTCTGGCTTCTTCTTAGGTCTGGACCCGCCTAGTCCCACCACTCCTCGGACCAGCAGAGAGGCAGGCTCTCCCACGTGTTCTCCGTCGCCCTCGGCGCCCTCTGACTCCCAGGATCTCTGCCAGGCGCTGCCCCTGCTCTGCACCAGCGAGCGCCCCTGGAGGCGGGGCCCGTCCTGGCCGGGCTGTGCTCCAGCTCTCGTAGACCAGCCCCAGGCGGGAGCACCCCAGGCTCCCCCGTCCCTGCCCGAATGCAGCAGTTTTTTCTCAGTTTGTTGTTTGCCTTTAATTGATTTGAAGAGTCCTGGAATCACTGTTTCTTAAAATTTGAGTGGTTTTATAGTTTTGTGGGGAGAGGATTTGTCAACTTCTTCCCTCCACCATAGCCCAGATCTGGCCCTTCATTGATTCTTTTGTAGCCTAACTTGTCCCGCAGAATACTCTAGACCTGATGCTAAGTGCTTGAGGGGTGTGATCTCACATAGCTCTGTAAGTGGAGGGGGCAGGACATAAAGCTTGGTCTTGCAGCTGGGGCTGCAGCATGAGAATTTGCCCAGAAGTGAGGCCACCAGACCAGCTGGCCCAGTGCAAGTGTCTTCTGGTGTGCTCACCACAGGGACTCTTCTGTGGGGGGCAGTGCGGGGGGAGCGGGAGTCAATCTTAAGTTCTTATTTTTTGATGTTAGTTCTTCCTGACTTTCTGCTCTTCATTAGCTGTCAAGCATCATTTTAGTCTCCCTGCTTCTGTGCGGTATGTCTCGGCTTTGGGCCTTGCCTGTGGTGTGCTGGTCGGGAGCGGTCGCTTTGTGTTTCCTACTCATTCGTCCTCCAGGTGCAGAAGGACTCAGGGTGGAGTCTGACCGGCAGGGCTCAACAGAGCAGCGCCATGACCCTCACAGTCGTGGGCAGCATCAGCGGGGTTGTCTCCGTGCGGTCAGGTGGGAAGGAGGTTGAGATGCTTCTGTAGAAGGGAACAGTGAACATTACTGAACAGAGTGTTAACCGCTTCATTCTCACGTGAGATTTCAGGAAGGGACAATACGTGAATATCCACAAAATACAGTAGATTTTATCTGCCAGTACTTTCAGTAAGATCATTATCCAAGGGATGTTTGCACCTCACTCACCCCTGATGGGTGGGACTCCTGGGTGACCGGTGTGAGAGCAGGTCCTTGTTGGGGACACAGGCCGTCCAGGAGGCCGGCCTTACCCAGACAGTGGAGATGGTGCTGGAAAGAGTGCGGGAGGGTTAGGCTTATGCTACAGAGCTTCATAAGAGGATCTTTCATGAAGGGATCTGTTTTTTAATCGATGCTGTGAGGCTTGGGCTCCAGACGGAGTGTGTGCTCTGTGCGTGGGGAGGACAGAGCGCTGGAGCAGACGGGAGCGGTCACCTGTGGGCCTCTGCCTGCTCTGCTGATGGGCTCCCCGAGGCTGAGCAGGGGTGAGTCACTCTATACCGAGGCTTATTAAATGCTCTCACGGGGCTTTTTAGAATCATCAGTGCAGCTGTTTATATGTGGGTGTGATCCCTTCAGACTTTTTTGTGTCCTTCATCTGGATCAAGTATCTGCTAATGTTTCCTGGCATATCTGCTCCCCTCTGCGTCTGTAGCAAAGGCAGGCACAGCTTGAATATAAATGATGGGCCTGGCTGTGTCCCAATGAAATTTTCGTCACAGGACGTTACGTCAGATGAACTGGTGTGGTCACAGATGAGCATGGATTTTTTTCTGGCATTTCGACAAATATCGATGTGGTTTTAATTGTGTTGTGAGATGTGGCCCGGTGTCTCTGCTTTCAGCCAGATCCCTTCTGAGCCACTCCCAGCCCGCTGCCTCGTGGCCCTTCTAAGTAGAAGCCTGGTTGGGTGGTGCGCTGCAGCCCTGTATGTCTGCTCCCCGTGGCACCCAGGCTCCAGGCCTTGGCTGGGCTGCTCCATCCTCCCGAAGATGGCTCTTCCATGCTGAGCTGCCCCTGTGCCCAGGCCTTTGCATACTTGCACCTTCTTTGTGGAAGGCTGGGGCTTTCTCTTACATTGCCTGGGAACCACCATCATGTCACACCTTCCCCAGGAAACCTCCCTGCAGCCCCTGACCTGGGTGTGGGCAGAGGCTGGCTCTGCAGGCCCCTCACACAGTATCATGGGTGCATGTGAGCACCTCCCATGGGGCTTTGCC